GACTAATGACACTAGTGTAGTCATTTTTAACAAACTCAGCTGGTTTCCAATGATGTAGATATGCGATTTTTGCTTTGGTCGTTTCGAATTCATGGTCATATAAATTTCCCTTTCGTTGGATCAGTGAGCTACAAAGTTCGGTGCAAACAGTGGGTGTGAGTTTCAAAGTTTAAACTGAAAACGGCAAAACCCGGATGCTGAGTTTGAAGTCCAAAGCCGTGACATCCATAAAGTGGGATGTTGGGCCACAAAGTCCAATCTTGACAGCTGTAGAGTTAGGTGCTTTGTTCCACTTTTGATTCTCGGTGGAGGTTTAGAACAAACTGGAACCGAAGTTATTCCGGTCATAATTTCAAGTTTTTGAAAGCAACCGGGGGCCACTGAAAGCAACTTATCTGAGCCGATAACCAGACCCACGCCCCGAGCAAATCTTCTACCGCGCGGGTGAGATCGTTGAGATCTGGTGACTAACTTCGTCGCCATTTTGAGTCACACATCGCCAGCCAGACGTACATGCATAGGCTTCAGATCTTTAGTGGAAAGCAAGGACGCGGAATAAATAATCATGGAGGTATGAGTAACACTTGAAGTTTGCTTTCCGACAGCTGATATGGTGCAGATCTCGCCAAATACACTCTATCAGACCAGTTTTACTGAAGATGTCGAGCCAAGTTGTGCAACCGTTCGGCGCGTCTGCTTTGCTGGAAACGCAACTGCTGTTAATTTTTTTTTATCTTTCTACATTCTGTGCCTCACTGTTTTCAACGCTGAAGCCTTATTTTGCGTCCTTTTCATTGTTCCAGGTTCACTTGTTGTGATCGGCCATTATCTTCAGTCGAAGTACACATACTAGTTCTTCAGCTTTCATGTGCTAATTCAGTCCACAAGCTTTAGCTTAGTTAAGAGATTTAAGACTTAAGCTTATTTTCTTCTGTGTAGAAGTCATCTAAATCTCAAAAGGCCTAAAATGATCCGACTAATTTCAAGCTACATGTACTGTCTTTTCAACGATGTGATGTTCTAGTGCAGATGCAAAACTTGTACTTGTACATTGTACACCTCTCACTGAATGCTTAGAGTGAGGTGTTTGTTCTTGCTCAGTTTACAACGTTTGATTTTGTGTACAAAATTATTACTTTACATGTACAGTAAATTTAGGGAGATTGTGTGGCATGATAGTAAGTGTGCTGTACTCCAGATCGACCAGTCCTGGTTCGAGCCTTGCACGGGGTCATTGTGTAGTGTTCTTGGGCAAGACACTAAACTCTCACAGTGTCTCAATCCACCCAGGTGCACAAATGGGGACCAGCAAATTCAGGGTAACCCTGCAATTGACTAGCATCCCATCCAGGGGTAGTAGAAAATTATTAATACTCCTTGTCACTTCAAGAATTGGGGTTAATCACAGGCCCTATTTGCCACTAGGCTCAAACAGGGACTTTGTAATTGCACATAGATTTAATTCATGTTTCTGCTTTCTGTTTTAAACAGGTACAAATTCTAGATGCCAGAAGCGGGAGGGTATCCTGTGTCCTAAAAGATGTAAGATATAAATCATGCTATCCTAGATTTTATGCACATGTATGTTCTTGTGCCG